TGTGACTACCCTCAAGATATCATAAGGTAATACTGGCATCTACTGCAAAATTTTGTAGACTATCCGCTATTACTGTAAGGGCTACATCATGTCACTCTGATAGATGATTACCTTCAAAGTGATTTCATAAATTTAGCATAATATAAGGTAATAGAGATATGAACATCTACTGACAAAAGTCAGACTATGTTTCCTATTACTGTGAGATCTACACCGCATTTGGTGATTATCTTAAAAGTGTTATCTATTTAATTTGTAGTATACACATAAGACCCCAATTGCATCAGCTACATTTATAAAATTTGCTCCTCACAAGCATTTGTTGTTGTTCACTAAAATGATTTGCTCTCATAGTAAATATAGTTCTTGCACACTTGATATATACCAAAATGGTATTGTGTGCTAATATCAACTAGTCAAGCCTCATTTTGCTTGAATATGTCACAGAAAACTATGCAAATATTTGCATATACTAGTGATTACCGTCTATTACATTGGTAAAATACATGGCAGTGAAGCCTATGTCACTATTTATAATTATAGTGTTGTCCATCCATCAAGATGGATTGCATAATTATGGCAACGATTGAGTGTCTCAACACTTTTGCAATGTCCACATCACATTATGGTTAAACTTTCACAGTGACTAACAAATGTCATACATGCAATGCGGTGACTCTAAAGTTGCAACACTCATATGCATTTTATGTGTCCCAAATTCACTTAGTTCTCAAACTAAGTACATAATGGATGACATTTTATTCACCCAGAATATTTCCCTTAATATAAACATGATGCCTTGAGCATATCACGAATGATTACCCATTCGTTTTTCAAGACTTCAAGTCATCGCAGCTCACAATTATGTCACTTAATCAACCTCAAGTTGAGATCTCGTGGTCAATGTTTTCATATGCCTTAAATACACTTTACATCCTCTTATGATGGTACTACAAATTTCCATGATGAAGAAATATAGAATTTCTTAAAATCATCGTATCCACCCAACAGGTGATATACCATTATTTGAAATAATTGCTAGTACTGAGAATACTATGCAAGTCAGTGGTCTCAAAAATGAACCACGAGGAATTCAAAGTAAAGTGTAGGCTAAAAGACAAAATTACCTCTTAATAGGGAATATATCGTTTTCAAATGATCACAAAGAAAATTCTCCAGTTTGTCAAATGTGTGGTTATACAAACAGCATACCTATGATTACCAAACCCTCAAACATATGGTCAAACGACACCACAAATTTTAAAAGGCCAATAAGTTAAATGGGATAAATTTGCAAATTTGCAAATAACAACAAAATTCTGGTAAAGGATTGTTCTCAGAATCTACATCAGAAGGAGAACAAAATCCAGTGCGGAAAATGGAGGATGAAAACATTTGCACTCAAATATATCGGAGACCCTCAGGTAATCTCCTAACTGTCCCAATATATTATTAGCCCATACTTGTACTACTATATGTAGTAAAATGTCCAATATCATATCCATTGGATACTATATGCGATAAAGTTGAATGTATGTTCCAATTCATACTCAATATTGTTGCATACACAATGATTTTCTAAGTATTAATAAATTAAATATTAGGCTTGATAGCCTTAGCCATCCTGGTTTGGGGATGATTAGAAAATTGTTGACAATTCGGTTGGTCACAACTTAACAAATTGCAAAAATATTCCCCAGATCATCAGATTATATGTGCACCACATGTGCCATAGGGGAAATAAGTTTTACGGCACTCTCACCTTAAAATTCTAAGCATGACACTTATTCTTCCTTGAACACATTCAAAAGATATGTCTGGATTGCTTAACCATTATCTGGGGTAATTTAGATACTTCATGGTACTCATATACACATTCATAAAATGTTTTTAAGTGTGTCTCTTATCACACACAACAATGCATGATCTTACTAAAAAAATTCTCAACTTATCAAAGTAAGAGCAAATTCTCTTGAAAACAGGATCTATAAACTCATTCAAATGAACAATGTTGTTGAACTCATTCAATGAGCATTTTTTTGCATTAAGTACTTTATGTACATACCCAGAATGGTTTAGCTAAATTTCTTATCAAAGAGAGTTAAATGAATTACATGACCACTTTTATAGACAAAGTCAATGAGGTGGTGAGAAAGCGAGGCTTGTAGCAAAGGGTTCACGCAGAGACCCGACATCAATTATGATGTAACATACCCTCTTGGTATGAGTGGAATTATGTTTCGATACTAAATATCATTGGCAATAAAAATAACAATAAACATGTAGTTAATGGGTGTTAATGAAGTAATATCAGGACCTGAAGTTCTATATCTCACTAATGTCAAAGCACTCATATAATTGCAAACTACGCCAAGCCTAGCACTATATTTTCTATCTTTGTTCAGAGTGTAAAACCCAACAAAAGGTATATGGTTGATATAGGAAATATCAGCTTATATCTCAAGCTCACAATAAATCATGGATATTTCCATCAGGAAATACAAGATATGGCCATGATATGATATAATGATATTGGCTCTTTCTTTGATCCCAACAATACCATATCAATGATTGAATTTGCTGGAATAGCCTTCATATGGAAGTCATATAAATGGGCTTTAACGGCTATTTCCAGTTATCATTCTGACATAATCGCTTTATCTAAAAGCATTGCAAAATATGCATGGCTTAGCAGAATGATTAACCACACTCAAAATCATGTGGTTGAGATTCACCAGAATCACATAACTTGATTTATCAAGACGCTACCACTTGTGTTACTCAATACCTACAGGTTATATGAAGAGCGATATCATAAAGTACATTGCTCGAAAATTACTTATCCTCACGAATTATAGAAAGTGAGGAAACAATATGCAAACAACATACTTTGGAAATCTTACAGGTTATTCATAATTTCATGATCATATCAATGGAGTTTGTATTACACATTCTCCAGGTTTGCAAAGTTCAGGGGGGGTAATTTCCCAAATCTATAACCTATTAACAATCCTAAGGTTGCATATATTGTACTCTTTTTCCCTTCATGAGTTTTCCCTAATGGTTTCTCATAAAGGTTTTTAACGAGACAATATAAACACAAGTGCCTATATATGTCATATCATTTCTCCTTATATTTTTTTCCACTGGGTTTTAAAGGAGTTTTCAATGGCATATCATATCACACTCTTTTCCCTTATGAGTTTTCTATCAAAGCTTCTCATAATGGATTTTAGTGAGGCAATATCTTATCAAATATCATACTTCATACTTTCTATTTTCCCTATCGGGGTTTTTAAAGAAAGTACTCAAGACATTTTTTTTGAGGGAAAGTACTCAAGACATATTAATTGTTCTCTAAACTCATCGATGAGTTTTCTCCTTCTTGAAAGGTTTTTCTCATATGAGTTATCAAGAGACAATAATCATTATATGTTGCATCATTTTCTCCTTATTATTTTTCCCACTGGGTTTAAAGGACTTTTAGCAACATATCTGCATTATTCTCCTCATATTTTTCCCACAGGGTTTTTGGAGGAGACAGTCAAGATTATTCAAAGAATTTGTCAAGATGATGGATATACCAAAGAAGAGACGTTGTACAAGGGGGAGTGTTAAGAATAGAATAGTTGATTACAGTTAAGCTAATTAGGATAAAGTTAATTGTTAGATAGGTTGCTTGGTTCTCAAGCAAACATGTACTTCCTTGGCTCTCAAGGCAACTATGTAATTTCTTGGCTCTCAAGTAACTATGTGTTTACTTGACCGCCAAGCACCATGTGTACTTCCGCCTGGGTATAAATAGCCCACTTCTATCATCAATAAAGACTGATAGATCATCTTTTATTCAAACTATCTCGTTCTTTATTTTCTACTTTAAACAGATAGCATTAAAATGGCATCAATGGAGCTCAACTACCCCGTGCCATGCCCATGCGTGCGTAAATATGGCAGGCGCGGCTCAGTCCATCAAGCCATGGCAGACCTGCTCCTCCTTATGCTTCCCTTGGCTCTTCTCTTCTTCCTCCTCCACCATGCATCGCCAATCAAGGCCCTCCTCACGAGGGCCAAGTCGGTTCTAGCGCCAGAGCTCTCCACGGTGTGGAAGCCGCAGCCCGCTAGTATCTTCGTCACCAACCACGAGACGGCGCATAGCCTTCTCGTGCGCGGCAGTGCCGACGGCTCCTTCTCCAACCGCCCACCATCCATTTCTCCAAGCGCCATCCTCTCGCGCCGTCAATACCAGAACATCACCTCCGCTCTGTTGGCGCCGCCTTCTCGCAACGCCGCACTTTTTCCGCCTCGAGCTGCCTCACACAACTCTCTCTTCTCACTTTGTCCTTCTCTCAAGAACACACACACGTTGGAACTCTACACACACACGCCAAGGCAGACCAGCCGCTAGCTTTGCCAGCCGGGAGGCTCTTCACCTTGGTGAAACAAGAGACTACATATTTTCCCTCAGCCCTCACGGGTCACGGCCTCCCTTCTCATTACTGAATATGACATATATATACAAAAGTGACTCACGCGGCACTAAACACAGCCAGGCCACTAAGTCACGTACTCACACATGACCCCCTCTCTCTCACCTAGAATCGCTCCAGGATCGGCACGATCGGTGGCTTCACAGCTTGTGCGCTAACGAACTTATGCATGCAAAGTAATCAACAGCTAACTACATGCACACCCCTTGACCAGCTAACAACCTCCATGCGGCCACTACTTACCCACGAAGCTGGCTAACCACTTGCATGCATCTAACTAATCCATTCAGCCAGCCGGTTCACTTTGCGGTCCATGCGCTTGTCGCATCACACGACTTTGCTGCCTCATGCAACACTGCAGCTTCGCACTGCCGTCGGCATCTCGCTGTGCTCGCCGCATCACACGGCAGTTCGGCATATCTCCTTCCCGGCACGCCTTTGTCGAAGCAACACCGGACTAGCTACTCTAGACCATCTACACTATATGCAAAACTTAAAACAAATATGCAGATACAAAACACGCTCCCTATGGTGAGCACCGGCGCACCATTCGTCACAACCTCACATCGGAGGTCCTTCACCCGACGCGGCTCCACCGGTACGCGTCGGCACGCCGCGGTGAACTCTGTGGTCTCGTCGCGGACCTCGCCGAGCAGAGGAAAAACGGCGTGGTCCATGCGGCCGAGAGCATCCGATACGCCATGTTTGGGCTCATCGCCACCATGTGTTTCGGTGATGGCATCGACAATACCCACGTCCGTGTCATGGCCGACGCTCAGAGTGACCTCGTCAAGTCCCTAGCTACGGCGCGCGTGTTCGCGCACGCGAAGCTCCCGGCAGTGACCAGGTTCATTTACGTAATCGTTGGAAGAAGCTAGCCACCCTGCGACAACAGCAGGAGGAGACGTACCTACCGCTCATAGATTCCCGTCGTGGCCGGCACCGGCAACCTGGCGAGACGCCGGTGTATGTGGACACGCTCATCGACCTCGCGGTGCCGGACGACCACAATCAGGACCCAAGGCGGCATCGAAGAAGGCTGTCCCACAGTGAACTCGTGGGCATGTGCTCCGAGTTTGTTGGTGCTGGAACCGACAGCCTCAGCACTGCAGTGGATCATGGCCAACTTAGTGAAGCGCCCTGACATACAGGAGGCCGTCCGGAGGGAGATCGATGCCGTCGTGAATGCAGACGCCGACGAAGTGAGCGAGAATGTTCTTGGGGAGCTGGAGTACCTACACACTGTGGTCATGAAGACACTCCGGCTGCATCCGCCGACGTCTTTTGCATTCAGGCAGGTGATGGAAGAGGACCATGTGGTTCACAATGGCCAGCGTATTCCGGTGGGCACCAAAGTGTACTTCCCACTGGCGGCTATAGCACGAGACAGCACAGCGTGGGACAACCCTGACGAGTTCAAGCCACAACGGTTCCTGGCCTCCAAAGGTGCATCAGAAGGAACCGACAACACGATCAAAATGATGCCTTTCGGTGGTGGTCGGAGGATATGCCCTGGCAGGGGTGTCGCGATGCTGCACTTAAGCTACTTCACCGCCAACCTCGTGAGGGAGTTCCGGTGGAGGGAGGGAGAAGGTGAGCTTGCCGTCGATCTCCAGCTGCATGTTGAGTTCTTCACTGTCATGAAGCGGCCATTGTGTGCTCACCTAGAGCTTCGAGGAACAGAGATCAAAACTAGAGTTAATTAGCTGGCCAAAGTCTCTTGGTTGTACCGTGTTTGCTAATAAGGAGCCATATGAATGTTTTTTCAGCATTAGTCGATTTCCACCGTACGCAGAGTGTCGAACCGAGACGGAGCGTCGCCAGCGAGGACTTGCCAGGAATGAGTCGGAGCAGGCAACAAAGTCGCTACAT